CCATGTAAGGTGATTCAATACCTCTATGCAGCTATATACAAATGGAGCTCGGTTTGGCTGGGATTTGTTTTGTGTGTTGCCATCCTCGTTGCAACCAGACTAATCTTGAGAAACTGCCAAGCCCAAAGCACTGCTGGAGCTTATTAGATAATGAAAATATACAGTGTGTCTCCTGAATTCTGAAAGATCAGTGCGGTCACTGAGGGGTCTTTACTACTAAAGCAAGGAAGGGGACCTGTACTCAGCTGTGGTATGGAATGATGCAGTGCCAAAACTCCCATGACTTCTCTCTTGAATATTGGCCTTGATATGTGTATTTCTGAATTAGTGAATCACCACTTATTATAAAACTTTTCATATATCCTATAGAAAATGAATAAGAAAAATAGGACAAGTAAGGGGATTGCCTGCAGTGAGTGCCTGAATGAATGTGTCAGAGGTGCAGTAATCATGTCATGTGCTTCCTAGTCTGGCAGATGCACTCAGGGACTGTTCATGTGTGACAATAAGCAGAGGAATCCACACGATGCAAGGGTGCTCTGTGTCTTTCAACTTCTTGGCCACAGTAAGAGATGGGTGATTGTGTTTGTGCCTATTGGTAGACACATGATGTCATGGCATGGTTACAACAAAAATTTTGCAATTATTATTTTAGGCATCTACAAGACAAGGAAATAGCAGAGATAGTTCTGAGTATCCAGTGATACGTAAATGCTGGAAGTTCCCCACAAGAGGAATCTGTACAGTGTTGAACCTGTATGGGGTTTAGCCTTAGGTTACATAAAAGGGATTTTCCCTGACTGTGAGACCAGTCTAACAGTGCTTCCCTATGGGAAAACTGTATGGATAAATATGCTGATGATTGAGAGACACTGCAGCAATGCTCCCTATAAATGTAAAGTACTTAAAGAAGTGCCCAACCCCATCTCTGTGCTGGGTGAAGTGACTGTATAGAAGCTTTGTTGGTTTGTGAAGTGTTTGTGACTGCTCAGAGGTGCAGTTTCAGAACTGCAAGCTATTGCTGTGGTTACAAAAGAGTGTGGGAACATTTATCCAACTTACATGTGACAGAAGCAACTTCTACTGAGTGCATTTTATTTTAATGCAAGCATTTCATAAAGGATTTCAACACTGTAGCTGTATTTTACTGCAGACATTCTGGCTCTACTTCATCCTTTTACAAGGCATTCAATGATTTTGATTCCTCAAAACATGTTGAATTGGTCAAACTTTTAAAATCAAAATGTTCATTCTCAACATTTTAACACACACATAAACATGTTAGGTACCAAAATTTAGGTTGGACTTTTTGTCTTAGGCATGCCAGAGGTGTCTGAAAAAAAGAGCAGGAGAGGAGAGGAGAGGAGAGGAGAGGAGAGGAGAGGAGAGGAGAGGAGAGGAGAGGAGAGGAGAGGAGAGGAGAGGAGAGGAGAGGAGAGGAGAGGAGAGGAGAGGAGAGGAGAGGAGAGGAGAGGAGAGGAGAGGAGAGGAGAGGAGAGGAGAGGAGAGGAGAGGAGAGGAGAGGAGAGGTGTCATGGCTTGCAGCCTCCCCATTAGTAGTGCCTGGTGTAATACATGTTGTAATACATGTCATCCTTCCTTATGTTTCTTGCTGTCATTGCATCACTTTTCTTCTTGTTTTAATAAGCCTCTCAATACAATGGCATGAATCAATGTGGTATAAATTGAATCAGTGAAGATCCGTGTCATTTCTTCAACCCGGAAAGTGGTACACACGGAGTTTCCATAATAATTTTATATAAATAGAGAAGCCACTAGTAACAGTAGTGAACAAGCTGGACTGATTTTACAATGATGTTGTTTTCTGACTGGGATGTTAAACTGTTTAATGATCCAAACAACCTGGAATTATGAGATTTGGAAAAGATGCTAAGTGAGTTGGCAGTGCTAAAACACAGCATGTAGGAGTGATGCAGGGCTGCCTCTACCAAAATCCTTGCTGAACAGATCCTAAGCCCTGGTTCTCCAGTTTCTGACTGAAGATGTACAGGCATGCATCTCTCTTCCACTGTATGAAACTGAGGCTGAATTGTCACCCGCTCTGATTTCATCTTGAAAAAGCTGACGTTCCCCCTTGGAGACAAATGACTTATACTATTAGTTTCCGCCTCATGGCTGCTTTACTTTGCCCAAATGCTTTGCAGTCTGCTTTGCAGCAGACAGGACACTCAGTGGCACCACATAGCGTGTCACAATGGGGAAGCCACCACCCTGCTGAGCTGTCCTGCTCCTGACTTTCCAACCACTGTGTGCTCAGGGCACATCTCTTATTAATGCAAACAAATAAGTGGTTTGCGTTACCTCCCACAAAAAGACAAATTCAACTGCTTTGTGTTTAGTGATAACTTTAAATGCTGGCCAGTGTCACTTCCACTAAGTGGGAAAACTGCTTGCAGCTAAGGCTTAGAGAGTGTAGGATTTGCTTTGCTTACCTTTGCTCAGTGCATCACTGCCAAAGAGAGACCGTGTGAGAGCTGCCAGGCTGAGGGGACAGTGCTGCTGTCACTACGTCCATTTTGGTGTCTGTATGCCTCCACTGGACCAGGGTCAAAGGTGACTGGCTTGGGGCTCTTATAATGCACGGTGTCTCACCATGCTCTGCAAAAAGAAGAAACGCAATGGCTTGCTCTTTGCTGAGTGTTGTGAGAGTATATCCTTAAGTGTAAGAGCTAATTCCAAGATACTTATATATAAGTACTCCAGATCATGCAAATTTTAAATATCATAAATACTTTGCCTAAATATATTTAAAATAACTGCTATATTAATGTACCTTACCACAGGGCAGACAAGCCTGGACAGTTTCGTTGCTTACAATACTTTCTGGCCCTGGGAAGATTCTTCTCCTACTTTAAATGTCATTATCATCACAGCATGCAGAACGAAGTATCTCACATAGGAAGAAAGTCAGATGAAAAAAGCAGAAGAAATTATAGTAATGTGCACTTTGTGGAGAATCAAAACTCACATTTTCAATCATTTTCAATGAGAAGAGGAAATTCCTCAAAGGAAAACAGCATTTCATGCAAAATGTCCCGGTTTGTCTTCTAGGCATGTATTTAGAACACGAGAAATATTAAGTGATGGGGAAACTTCTTATATATATCAGCTCCAAACACAAAGCTCTTGTGTAGTGACAAAAGTTTAGAGTGGCCTTTGCATATAGAAAAGAGTGAATAAAGCTGTGTTTTAATCAAGACATGAATTGATATTGCTTAATAGAGCCACTCTTACCAATACTCATGTAGATTCATTCTTTTCATTACTTCAAGTGAATGCAAACAAATCATACCTGAGATTTCTTGTGTTTTCTTAAAGCTCAGAGACAGAAGATACAAGAAACTGGGGGAAAAATGTTAAGGTGCATGGAGAAATGTGCTGTTTCACTGAACAGTGTCACAGAACTCCAAACTGTTGAGGAAAAAATTGTCAGTATGAGGACAGGAATGAAACATTAATCTCATTAATCTCACTAATAAATTCATCACATCTGTTGGCTTATTGCTAAGATTCATTGTCAGAAGAAATTATTCTTCTCCATAAGCCCAGCTTTCCACGAAGCACTGAAACATGTAACAGTATTAACTATACTTTCACCTATCTGTGCATGAGCTGCCTTAATAGTAAGGGACTCCTGAGGCATCAACTGCACTTATACCTTTATACTACCTCTTACTTTTTTGAGAACATTAATTTTTAAGTAAGCTGGTATGTGAGCCAGCTTTACCTTTTGTGTGCCCATTCCATATATGCACAAGAACTGCAGCCAAAGGGAAACCAAAGTGTGAAATGGGTTTCAGTCGTGATTAATGCAAGCATCTCCTCTGGTGTTGCTGTTAGGAATAGGCAAAAGTACGTGTTGAGGGGCTTCTTGAGTTCAGACCTAGAAGTCGAGGGGCAAAAAGGAAGCAAAATTAATGACAAGACCAGATAGTGAACCATGTTGGAAAGGGAATTTTCTGCCTATGGTTATTTCAAGTGAGTCTTCACTGAAGGGTTCACTTCTTAACCCTTTCCTTGCCACAGAGAGAACATCTCGCCCAAGTCTGCTGTGCTTGTCTACGACTCTGGGCTAAAATATGGTCCATGCTTTCAGCACACTGGGAGACTCCTAGCTTTGCACTGAGGGCACTGGTGAAACCACTCCACTCATAACACCCAAAAATAAACACATATTTCCTGCAATGTGTTTGGGGAGTTGCACCATGACCAACACAGTCCCTTAAAACCATATGGAACCGCATGGTTCCAAAACTGCACAGAAACCATTGATATACCCCCAGAAAAGCCAGAAGTGCCCAAGAAAAGCCAACAGTGCTGCTCCACTGGACACAGAGCTGCTCAGCTCCTGCTTCTCACACACCTGTATCTGAATCATAGAATCACAGAAAGCCAGTGCTGACACAGCTCTGGGGATGGCCACCAGCACAGGGCTCCACTGGGGCAGCATCCTGGGGGATGTGAGCACAGAGCTACTGCCTTCCCACCCTACGCTTAAGTGGTGCTCAGACCGCCGCCATCTGCTCACATATGATGAAGGGTAGGATCCATACCCAGCACCTGACCTATGCTTTCTTGGCACAAACGATGCCTGGTATATTTTTTTGTATGTTCCATCTTTCTCTTTGTAAACATGTTTGCCACAATTCAGTGACTGTAAATATTGAGTGAGTCAATCATCACAAAAGCATTCTGTTATTATAATCCCACTGAAATTGTAGACATGTTGGAAAACAAACAAAATGAAAGAGTTAAGAGGGAAAAACCTCAGAGATGTAAGCTGGCTTTTGTTTTCTCTATTCAGAATAAAGCTTTCTGCTGTGCTCTTAGTGACCACGAGGCAGATGCATCTCCCACGAGATGACATGAGTAAACGTTGGGTGCAACACTGCGTGCCCAGACCGCCCCAGGTGATGGCTGTGACTCACGTGTTTAACGTTGGGCATTTGAAGAACGGGAAGCGGCTGTGCGCAGGGCTGCTCGGAACTCCAGCCCCACACGGAGTCCTGCCCCTTTGGAAGCTTGCCCTGTGATTCTGAAGGGCAAAGATTTACCAGGTGCGGTTCAACTTGAAGCCATTCCGTGACATTTTGCAAGTGCGCATCCACTGCACAGCCGCGGGCCGTGAGCAGACACCTTGCTGGCGCTGCGGGTGCCCCACGAAGGGCATGAGGGTCTCACGCTCTTTTTAACCGAGATGGTGGTCGGGTCCGAGCAAAGGCTCCCCAGGGCAGCGTCACGGTCAGAGTTCAAGAAGCGTTTGGACGACGCGCTCGGACATAGGGTCTGAGTTTGGAGTGGTCCTGCGCGGAGCCGGCTGATCTCCGGGGAGAAGCCCTCCCGTGTCTCGGCTCACGGCACGGGACCGCCCGGGGCCCCGTCAGCGACGCTCCCTCGGTGACGGGCGCGGGGCGGGGCAGGCCGGGCTGCGGGGCCGGGCGGAGCGCGAGTGGGTGCGCGGCGGCGTGGGGCGGCGTGGGGCGGCGCGGGGCGGGCGCGCAAGGCACGGACACACGCGCGGGCACGCACACGGAGCGCACGCTGCGTTTGGAGCTGTTTATTCGCTTTTTTTCCTCTTTTATTTTTTTTTTTTTTTTTTTCTTTTTTTTAAATCGCCCGGGACTGGAAGCGGGAGCCGCGGAGCTGAAGCTGCTATGCCCACTGAAATCAGCCGGGCCGTGAAAATGCACGCCATCTCCGACCTGCACTCGTCTTTCAGCGTGCGGTTGCTCAACAAGGGGCCGGAGTACCTCCGCCGGCAGCTGGGGGCCGGCACCCCCGGCCGGAGGAGCGCGGCGGAGAGGCTGGCAGCCGATAAGGCCAAGTATGTGAAAAGTCAGCAGGTAATCAGCACCAAGCAGGAGCCCGTCATCGTGCTGAGCTCGGCCTCGGAGTGCAGCAGCGAGAGCTGCTCGGTGGAGAGCACCAAAACGAGCAGGGATTTGGGCAGAGGGAAGGGCGCGAAACCGCTGGAGAGGGCGAAGGCGGGGTGCGCGTGGCGGGGCCCCCTGCAGCACGGCCCCCCCATCGCCCGGCGCAGCACCCCCAGGAGGCAGGGCCGGCCCGACTCCCTGGTGATCTACCGCCAGAAGTGCGAGCTGGGGAGAGGGCAGAGCCAGGACGGCTCGCGAGGCAGCTTGGTGAGGAGGTTCTTCCAGGGGCCCGGCAAGGAGAAGCAGTTGGCTTCCCCTGGGGTGCCCAGAGTCATTATGGAGGACGGCTCTGCCGCCGAGAGCAAAGAGCCTCACCCGGCTGAACTCGCTGTCTCTGAGCCTGGTGGCTGTGGAGCTGAGCAAGCTGTCCCGGTGGGCACCGAAGAGCCAGGAGTTTGTACAACAGAACGTGAGAAGCCCTCTACGTTGCCTGCACCTCCTGAAGAGGTCAAGGAGGTGAAGAGGAGAGGTCTCCATCGCTCCCAGTCAGACATCAGCTCTCGCTACTCCAAATCTTTCTCTGAGTTTGACACCTTCTTCAAGTTCTGTGGCCTGGAACAGGAGGTCATCGAGGATTTGGGGAGAGAGAACTTCTCGGTGGTGTCCGACAACGTCTCCTTCAAGATCCGCAGCATCAGTGTGGCCACGTCCGAGAGCGATTTCACACGGCATAGCGGGGACGAGGGGCTGCTGGAGGATGAGCTCACAGAGCAGGTCCCCAGCAGCACCTCGGTGATCGAGCGCAATGCCCGCATCATCAAGTGGCTGTACACCTGTAAGAAAGCCAAGGAGAGCAGCAAGGCAATCCAGGAGCTGGCATGAAGGCTTCCTGCTGCGTGTGCTGCAGCCTGGTGAATGCAAGGTGTGTGCAGAGCCTTGTCCTGCTGATTTATGTATTTCTCTTTCCTCTTTAGCAAGCAGTAGACGTTGCATAGTTTCTTTAAGTCTTCTTATGAAAGGTGACAGGCACCTTTATTTTGTATGGTAGTTGTCGTAGTGCTGTGTTTTTCAAAGCAGGAATCTGGGGCACTGCAAAGAACAAGTGCAAACAAATAAGTGAGTATAGCTTGCCAGAGTGCAATCAGACCCCCTACAAGAAATCAAAGTGCCAGTGTCTGTGAGGGATGTCTGCTCACTGCCCGCTTCGTAAATAGCCTGGTTTCTGCAATTTCTGCTATATTAAGTGCTAAGAAAAAACTTAGAAAAGTATTCAACCCATAATTACAGTAGCTTAGATGACAGACTGAACTGAAACTACTAATGATTAGGAGTACATTTGTATTTATACAATACTTCTGAAGCTTTCTTGTTGCTTTCTCTCCTTCTCTCACTGTTCCCCTCTGTTACTTAAACATGGGCACCCCCAATTGTCCAATATCAAAGCTGAGCCATTAGCACTGCTACCAGCCTGATTTCCCCCACAGCTTGCTGTTGTTGGGACCATAAAAGTTTGCTCCAGGTGATCCCCTAGCATGTGTTATCTGTTCTGTTTTTCTGAAGCGGGTTCTGCCATGCAGCATGGTCCCAGTGGCTAGAAATTAGTTGTGTGGTTTGCCTTATCTGGAGAGATACCTCACTGTGTTATACCAGGATAAATGATACAAATGTGTGGCATCTAGTTACAAAATCAGTCCATTCACATACAGAAGGAGAACAAATTTAGCACTGGTGAAATCTGATGTCCCGGCTTTAACAAAAGCTGTGCTTATTTTGCATCTGATCTCCTCAAAAGCACTATTCTTGAGGCCTTTGGTACTGACGGTTTCATAGATACAGTATTTTGTTGAAGACCTTAGTGTGTAGGTACCACAGCTCATAGTGAGGTCTTTAAAAATTGCATGAACGGTTCTTGATATGAAGGATTACTTATACGTGTTCTGACAGTTTGTAATTGGTGCGTGAGAAGAACATCGCTTGGTGTAGGTACAGCGGTCGATAGTGGGCCCTGTGAATGTGGAGAAATGTAATGCTTGAGCCTTCCTGTTACGTGGGTGTGGGGCTGTCGCTCCCAATGCCTTTTATCTATGTAATGCAAAAATCAATTCACTTGCTTAAAATTGTTTTAATCATGTGGAATTTGGATAATTTAAAAAGTGATTTTCCACAAGAAGACATTTATGAGTAGAGGGAGGAGGAAGGGGGAGGGAGACCTTTTCACACAAATATTTCAAGCCATTATATATAAATGTTGTTATAGATCCATTCCCAAATTGCACCAGAGAGAAGAGACTCTCTTGACCATTTCTCGATATCCTTCTATAATAAAAGGCAAGGGAGAAACACAAAAAATGGTGCAGGTGGCCAGCTGAGAACCTTGCTGAGGATGGAAGGCAGAGCTTGCTCCCTTCCACTTCAAGCAGGAGCCTCATTAAAAAACAACAACAACAACAACAACAAAAACCCCACAGTTCCATGAACTAAAGCAAAATAGAAGCCTGTCAGTTTTCATGTGGACTTGCCAGGGATAGGTTGCAGGGCCAGGGCAGCGTTTGTCATGGCAGGACACCAGAGCTTGCTGAGGAAGGTGTATTTGGGCCTTCTGCCATCCACGTGCATGGTGCTAAGCGTGTCCAGTGCTGCTGAGAGGGTGATGCTGGGGGCTGCTCCAAAGAACACACAGGCTGCGGAGGCCGAGGGCTTCAGAGACAGGTACTTCACCAAGGCAAAGGCAGGGCAAGAAGGGAAAAGCTCTTTTGCAGGAGCTCACACTGGCTCAGTGTGCTTTTGAACATCAAAGACAACACGCCCATTTGGAAAGGATGCTACTCATAGCCCATAGCCTTGCAATATGGTGAAAAGACTCCATGAAATTCATGTGGCATATGTGGTCATTCTGAAGTAACTTCATTATCCAAAAATGACATGTTTTAGGATTGTTTTTCTTTTAAGTGTTCTGTACCCTTAGAAAAAGGGCAGTCTCCCATTTAAATTGAAATCAGAGTAGAGCACAAGGAAATGCTTTGCACCGGCAGCAATTTTCTTTGGCATCAAAATTTGGCAGTCTAGGAAACACTTATCCACAATGTTCATATTATAAACTTGATTTCATACATACTAGGACTCACTCAGCTGATAGACCTCAGTAGTGGGGCTACGATGGTTTCCAGGGTAATTTCTAAAAACTGAGGAAGTGCTCCAGAGAAGTCAGCTGAGAGTGCCAATGCACAAAGCCCAGAATAAAGGACAGGAGTCATCAGGTTGCCATAAGTTAAATATTACGGTCACCAGGCAGAATTTAAGCTTTTAAGAATTAAGAATTTAAGAATTTAAGACAGTGATTATCACCACATGCTCTGATGTTCGGTTCTGTAGCTATGGTGTCTATGTTATTGTATACCCAAATGTTCATCTTTTTCTTCAACTCTACACTTTCTCCGGTAAAACAGCATCAAGTTAAGGAACCTGAATCTTTTCATTATATTCATATATTTGACTCTGTAGCTCTGAGACATGCTCTTGAAGGCCTCTTTTTTTTTCACAGAGGCTTGAAAATTGAAAATTTCTAGTTGAAAATAGAAGCAAAAGCCTCTTCTTATTACATGTAGAATACTTTCTGAGAAGAACACAGCTTTTATGCGCTGGTGATCATTTCATTCATATTTTATGTTTTTTTTTAATTTTTCATGAGCTCTCTGGGGCCTGGTGGGAACGGTGTGTAAATAGAGCTACTTGAAGGATCAGATTGCCTGACACATCTCATCAGAGTGATGAGTGTGGAAACTAAGTGTGGTCTTCAAAACACAGAAGTCCTCTGTGAGATGGGCATTGGTATTTCACAGTATAATGTTGCCTGAATTCACCTCTGCAGTTCAGTACTGCTGGCTTCTCTTGCTGTCAGCCCTGCCCAACTCCAAGAAAAGGATTCACTCGGCATGCTCCTTCCTGGCTTGAATCAGGATTATTCAGCCTTCAGTTTCAGCAGTATTCTTACAAGAATGTTCGTTGTTCAAGTGGAGATCTCACGGAAAGGGAACTTACTGCATTGGCAATATTTATAAGCAGCTGAACAAAAGCCTTAGAATATCACCTAATGCGTTTTTGCTTTGATAATTAATAAATTACACTTGTTTTTTTCTTCTTTCATCAGAATCCTTGACTTGGAAATTGAACAAGACCAGACACAGAAAGAAACTTTTCCTTCATCTGGCTCGTGACTACTTTGTCCAAGTTCAGTGTTCTTGCCTCTTTCCCTTGCCTCGTCCCCTGGCAGCCTCACTCATGTCACAGGCACAGAGAAATCCAAGAGACTGACGACAACTGGAGATCGTGAACTGTGCCGCAGAGAGGCAGCAGGAAATGAAAAGTTCTGGGATCACAAAGTGTGCCATTAACAGGGATATCCAGCATCAGGTCACTGCCCCAGGATGTCACTCCAGGCTGTGGCAGAAGGTCCGTGTCATGCGCCCATCTCTTTCCAGTAATGTTTGTGAGTAGGAATGGGAGGAGAAGGTAGGAATGAAGTGTCGATGACCCTGGACAAGGCATCGCCTTGCAGGCAAGCAGGCTCCACCCAGCTTTTCAAAGGCCCAGTCCCATGAGGGCGTTTTGACAGGGGCTCATCCTGGCATCATTAAATGTTTCCCTGATTGGTGAGGACTAACTGTGGAGGCTCGATCTGGGAGATTTGGCAAACACGCTGTAAGCTAAATCTCTGTCGAGCTTCTCCTCTAATGATATTCAAGCCACATTGTACTGCCTTGTGTCTGTCTAGTTTGCTCTGTCTTATACTGTGCTCAACCAGTGGGGAGGAATAGCTTTTAAAACTGAAATCTTTTAAATGGCACAGTTCCAAGAAACAGGTAATAAAAAAATAGGGTTGCCTTGCTGCACAATGGTCTAATTCACATTTATGCAGGATCCTCCACTGTGCTTGCAACATCTCTGACTACCTGAGAGGGCTTCATTGCAGTGTTTTGCAGTTCATGGCTCAACACCTTGCATTTTATGCACCATGAGTGAGCAGTTGGCTTGTAGAATTGTACTGGGAAACTATACCAGGCTATGCAAGATCAAACTTCCCTAGTGTGGGTCTGGAGTGGTGTTGTGCTTGGGGTGGAGAGGCTGGCATCCCTGCACCATGGGCCAGAGGACCTGTTAGGGGCTGTGCCAGATTGATGTCCTACTGGGATTAGATCCAGTGTACACAGCACCTCGCTCAATATTATCAGTAGAATGCTTCATTTAAACTGGCCAAATGAAACATGCTTCAAAAGTGCTTTGGATAACTCATGTAGTGAGTGGGATCTCTACAATAACTTATGAGCCTCGCTGGCCATGCCCCAGGTACTCAGTCTGTCATTACTTACTAGAGAGTGTCTGAGACCAAAGTATTTATTTGGATGTTAAAAAATACACAAAAAGATGTGAAATAAACAAAACAATCAAAGACATTCCTCTTTTGGTCATATCAAGGCCAACCAGCAACAGCTGTGCATCCAGGATTCCAGCTGGGCCTCCTGCAGAGGTTAGCCATGAGCTCTGTGTTGCCATGTGCCTGGCTTTCTGCTTGCAGTGCTGGCCTTCAGCAGGCTCTCAGACCTCGGATGTGGGAAGTCCAGAAGAAGGAGCTTTCATTCTCCACATTCCTGGTTGGTCACACAGACCTCTTTGGGCCTCTTCTGGCTCAAAACAGCCGCCAGTGCGGCCAAGTGGAAGCAGGACTCAAATGAGCACTTGGGCTGCATTTTTAAAGTGTTTGTTGCTCTTGATAAATAAACCCATTGGAGTGGAAAAGGCAGAGTAGAGTAGTGGCACTCTTAGAAAATGCCTATAGTGGGAGGCCCAGTTTCCCATTGGAACATACACAGATGTGGCATCCTGATAGAGTTGCCCTTGAAGCACTCATTGAGTGCTGCAGTTGGCAGCAGTTAAATTCATGGCAAGATGGCCGGGTTGCATTTCCCTATGTCTAAAATATGCTTGTCAGTCACTGGAAGGGTAGTTTGAATTGCAACAACTGTTTGAGAATGCAGGGCATTTGCCTTCATTTCCTAGTGTCACATACTAAGGTCTACGTGTCTGAAATTGTCTAGGTAGGTAGATAACACTTCTCGATAAAATAATTGTTGAACCTGTTTCAAAATTAAGAGAAAACCAAATAGTTTGCATGAGTGAACCTCTGCCAACTTAGAGGGAAGCTTGTATGTGGAGATATCTTTGTTAAATAATGAAAATTCCATGTGCATTTATTACATTTTTTCAGCAGGATAATTCTTAGAAAACTACAACTCAAGATGCTGCTAATATGATTTATGCAATTAAGGTGCAGTTTTTAAAGGTACAGAGACTTGGTTTATTAGTCAGGAGCGCAACCTACTGTGTCTGTTGTTTTCATGCTCACTGTGTGAGGTACTGTATTATACAAGTATTTAAGTGCTTTTGTCAGAGGCCAATGACTACTTTTCTTTGCAAATATGAATTGACTGCAGACAGTTCAGAGTCCGGGAGAAGTTGTTTGTGTTACAAGTCAGTGCTCCACTGTGATACCAGAGAATTGTTTTGTTTTGTATCTGGGGAAGATTTTTTGTTTCGTTTTCAAGCTTCCATTTGTTTTGGCTTCTTAAGTTGAGCAGCTTTCAACTTTCAAGTTGAGATGATAATGCTAGGGGGAAGAAAGGGGAAGATGCATTGGTAGTGTGTTTTCAGTGGTAGAAAGGAGTATGTTTAATTGACTTGAAAGTAATGAACACCAGCCTTTGTTAAAGACACTGAACATTTTATGACAGAGATTATTGAAAGCAGAACTGGAATATTTTTAAATCCCCTCTATTATCTTTTTCAACAGTGTACGTGATTGTGGTGACATTCTGCACTGATGTATGGCAAAATTTCCCTGATTTTGTTCAAGTTTTGGTAGGAGCTCTGAATGCTCATGGCATCATCAAGATGTGGACCTAAGACCATCCCCTGATAAGCTTTATATTCATTTGTTTAAAAATATATTCTGGTTAAGCTAATAACCTACTTTTCCCAGTATGCCAGGAAAGGCAGTAGATGACAATCCTTTTTCTGTATCTCTAGAGGATGGATGATTTGCTTATTTGCTTATTCGAAAGCTCAGTACTTCACTCAGCTCCTGTTATTGTTACACACTCTGACTTTTCCTTTCTTCTATGCTTCAGTCATATCTCTCAAAATAAGAGAAGTTTACTAGTGTTAGTCACTGCCTGTCTTTCCCCAAAAGATTTTCTCAAGGTGCTTTTACTACTTCATTATAAAAGACTTGACTTGGAAGAGGTGGGGTTTTTTTCAGCTTTAGTGCTAAACTGAGGTTAAAACAGGCTGCTGAGGTAAAGCAGACACTTCAGCAGTGGAATTGGATTGCCATTCTTTTGGGAAGCCTCAGAGTGAGGCAGAGGGCAAAGACAAGTCATAAATTGAATGATTGTGTTGAACTATGTAAAATAAGATAGTCAAATGGAGTTTTACACCCAAGTGTTTCAAAGTGCTCCAACCCCGTGGCATGGGGCAATGTCTGCAGCTGTAACATAACATGTGAAAGGTACAAAGTCCAATTTTTATTGCCTAGAAGCTATTATTTGCAATGAAGACATAGAGACTGTAAGCCTTGCAATATATTGTAAATATTACTGTACAGAAATCTATAAGTTACAAATAAAGATTGTTCTATAATATGCAGATTACTTTTCTAAAGGAAGTAAATCCTCGTGTTTGATGAAATCAGACAAACATGCATTGATGGGCGTTAAGCAGAAACTTTGTCCTGGAAGAAGGCTGTCCTGTCATTGCTTCCTGTGAAGTTTCTTACATCTTTTGAAGCCTGTAAAATGGAGTACTGGTCAGATCTGCTGTGCAGCTTTCAAAGTTGTTGTATTTATATATCCATATAAAAAGATGTGTTTACTACTGAGTGCATACAAATAAAAATACGACACTGACAGTTAATGTTTTTTTCTTGAAAAAGTACTGTTTTACTTTTCTGTTTCTATTACTGTCATTTAAAGCTAGAACCCCACTGCCCAATTACTCTCTCTGAGTAAACCTGCAATGTACTGGCCTTACTCAGACCGCTGGATGAAAGCTTTTTAGTAAATTTGAAATACATCAGACCAGGGTTGTTTCACAGTATTTTAATATTTTCATTCTGGAATATGGCTGAAAAGGTGCTCAGTTCATTTCTGAAGAGTATATTTTAAAGAGAATTTGATATTTTACTCACTGTCAAAGGCTACTGTGTGCTTCAAGCAATATTACCTAAACGACCAGCAAAAGGCAGTGTCCAAAGACTCAGTGAATCTGAAGCTCTGCTTGGAAAAACCCTATCTCCAGAATTTTATTAACAAGGTGTCATCTGACTGGATTCCATAGGAGGAATTCAGTGTGTGTGGTGTTAATTCACTGTGCCTGCATTTTGTGAAGAAGGCTGCAGAAATCATCATTGCATACAGTGAGATCTATACATTCCAACCGCTTAATTACCATTTTGGCATGGTCCAAACTGCTCATATGAAGTGTTACATTGACAAGCATTTGAATGCAACTGGAGGGCTAACTGATACGCACTGTACAGATAAAGCTCTTCTACCCAAAAACAAACAAACAAATAAATAAATAAAAAAGTGAAAGCAACTTTCTCATCCTTGACACATGGCCTACCCTGGCTGACCTGCTTCAGTGCAGACTATAAAACAAGTCTGGAAAGGGGAAACAAATTCTGCCTACACCTCGCAATGCACATAAATCTTTTCAGCAAGCCTTCACCAGTAGTGTTGCCTGTGAGAGAAAGGTGCAGTTGTAGCCCGTGAATATCATAGAATAGCTTGGGTTGGAAGGGACCATCAAGACAATCTAGTTGAAGACCACTAGATCGGTCAGTCAGCTTTGCTGACTGTCTCAGATCACCTGCACATCCCTCATGTGCCTTAACATGTACTCCAGGAGGATCTATTCAATGATTTTTCCAGGCACAGAGGTGAGGCTGACTCGCCTGTAGTTCTACAGATCTTTCTTTCTCCATTTCTTATAAATGGGAGTGACGTTTCTCTTTTTTCAGTCACCTGAAAGTGAAGTTCACCTGGCAGCCCCAACTTCTCAAATATGGTGGGTGGCTCAGCAACCACCTTAGGACTCTGAGATGCATGTTGTATAGCCCCATAGAATCTTAGAACCAAGATTGGATAAGATCTCCAAGATCGTCCAGTCCAGCTGTTCACTTATCATCAGTATTTCCCACTAAACCATGTCTCTAATTACAAAATCTAAATGTTTTTTTAACACCTCGAGGGACAATGACTCTACCATCTCCCTGAGCAGCCTGTTCTAGTGCCCAATCACTCTTTCAGAATAAGTCTTTCCTAACATCCAGTCTGAACCTCCCCTGGCCCAAACTGGGGCCATTTCCTCTAGTTCTATTGCTGGTTATGTGGGAGAAGAGACCATGGCACAACCTTCCTTCAGTTAGTTGTAGAGAGTGATGAGGTCTTCCCTGAGCCTCCTCCAGTCTAAATAATTCCAGTGCCCAGTCTTCTGCTTCTCAGAAGACCTGTGCTCCAGATTCCTCACCAGGTTTGTTTCCATTCTCTGAATACATTCAAGGGCCCCAGTGTCTTTCTTGTAGTGCAGGGCCCAAAACTGAACGCAGTACTCAAGATGTGGCCTCACCTGTACTGAATACAGAGGGAACTTTGGACATTTGGTCTCATGAGGTGATCTCAGACTTGCTCTGCCCTTACACTGGGGGGAAGTTTGCTCCCCTAGTTGCCACCCAGAAATTTAGGAATGTGAGGTTTATAGAGGTGATGTCCAGGGATGTGAGAACTATGAGAATCCTGACTGCCAGTGAAGACTGAGACAAAGAACTCACTGGGTACCTCAGCCTTCTCCATATCTATTTTAGCCAGTTCTCCTTTCTCATTTATCAGAGGAGATACACTCTCTTTGACATGTCTCTTCTGACCAATGTACCTACAGAACCCCTTCTTGTTGTATTTAACATCCCTTGCCAAGTTCAGTACCATCTGTGCCTTGGCTTTCCTAATCCCACCTCTGCATTTCTAGACAGCATTCTGGTATTCTTAAACTTGATATGTCTTTGTTTCCACTGCCTGTACTTGCCCCTCTTTTCCCTCGGTACAACAGCAGCCAAGCCATGCCAGTTTCCTGCCTCCCCTGCCTGTTTTCTTGTTCTGAGGGATGTGAGCTCATGCTCTCAGAAAGGCATCTCTAAAGAATAGCCACCTTTGCTCCATGCCTTTCTCCCTGAGGACAGCTTCCCAGGAGATCTCGTCCAACAATTCCTTAAACAGCCTGAAGTTCACTCTCCTGAAATTCAGGGTTCTGACTCTACTCTTTTCCAGGCCCACATTTCTCAAGATCACAAACTCAACCAGGGCATGGCTGCTGCACCTCAGACTGCCTCCACTCTTGATGTCTTTAACAATCTCCTCCAAACTGGTGAGCACCAAGTCCAGCAGCGTTTCATCTCCGGTCAATCCATCCAGTGCCAGAACCAGAAATTTATTATTGATGTATTTCAGGAATCTCCTGGATCACTTGCAGCTGGCCATGTTGTTTTCTCAGCAGATATCCAGATGGTTGAAATCCTCCATCAGAACAAGAGCCTTTGTGAGTGCAACACTTCTTGCAGATAAATCAAGAAGGCCTCCTCTTGATCAGGATCCCCTTGATCAGGAGACTTGTATTAAACTCCAACCACAAGCTGTCCTTCATTGGTCCTGTCTCTAATTTTAATGCACAGGCTGTCAAACTGTTCCTGACCAATTCTTAGAGAGAGCTTCTTGTAGTCTATTCACTTTTGAACATAAAGGGCAACACCCCCACTCCTCCTATCTTGCCCATCCCTTCTAAAAACTGATAGCCCTCAGTGGTGGTGTTCCAGTTATGCGAATCATTCCACTGTGTTTCTGTGATGGCAATAAGATCATAGTTTTCCAAGTGCACTGTTATTTCTAAATCCCCTTGCTTATTCCCCATGCTGCATGTATTGGTGTGGAGACACTTCAGCTGGGCTTTCAGATGCGTCACCTTCCTAGAGGAACCCTCCCACAAATTTCCAGGACAAATCCCACTCCTTCCTAAAGTGACAGTGTTCCCTGGCTCTCTGTACCCCCAGTTCCCAGCAGCTTTAATTTAAAGCCCAGCTTGCTGCCTAGTTTATTCTTGCCTATCCTGATCAGTTACATGTCATCCAGCATTCTTGGTTTGTCCCAGTCTCCAACCAAGGACAAGGAGGAGATAGAAGTCATCTGGCTCTATCATATCTGATATCCTCTTCTTGATGTCCTGAATGCAGGTCCCATGCAGGCCCTGGGCAGCCTGATCTAGTAGGTGTCCCTACTCAAGATATGGGGGTTAAAACTAGATTGTCTTGAAGGTCCCTTCCAACTCAAGTTGTTCTATGATTTCTATGATATTTGTGGGCTATGACTGCTCCTTTCTCTCAAGGGCAGCAATACTGGTGAAAACTTGCTAGTCACCTCCCTGGCCCTCCCTTGCTGACTTCCCCTCTTTTGATGCAGCTCAGGATATGTTTGATTTCTGGGGCTGCAAACACATACTGCTGGTTCGAGTATCCACTCTTTTTATCCATGAATACTAGCATTCTTGCAATACAGCCCAGATTAGCATTTAAGATCATTACTATATTGAGACTCCTCCTACAGTCCATTTTTTACATTTTACGGAGCCTGGTGGATTTCTTCCAGAAATGAGGGCATGCAAACTCCTGTTCTTGGACTGGTTGGTGTAAGCAGCTTTTTAAACTCCACAGTTTACTGACTCACTGCTTCTTGTTTCTCTCTCAGTACTAAGCAAGTGTTATAAAGAAACTCTGAAAACAAACACTTAGTGATTGGAAAAAGGCCTTTCCATGTGGTTTGTAGATGTTTCTGCATCAGAACAAATATTGAAAAGCTTTTGACAAAGAAAAAAGTCATTGTCAGTGGCAGCCAAGCAAGTAAATACAGTGGTAGCATTACTCTCAGAGACCTCTAAATACTGGAGATTTTTGGTGACTGGGTCATATTTTTTGTAGATTTTTCCTGATGGAGAAAAGGAGAATAGACCAACTAACCTAGCAGAACATTGCAAAATGGAATTAGGGCCATTCTGCTTGTTCAACAATAAACAATATAACAGTGTAGTCCAGGGAGTTCTCAATGAAAAAGGATATTGTAGCCAATAAAACTGGTGATATACCATAAAAACAGCATCAGAAACAAAATAGCCTCTGGATGAAAGTAACTCATAAGTACCCATATCCAGAAATCAGTTCAGTTCCTCAAGGAACATAAATTCCTGTGAAATTAGTTTGCACAATTGTGGAGGAGTTGGATTGCCTAAGCAATTAATTTGATTTGAAAAACTAAGAGCTTTGATTGTTTGGATTTCAAAGCTTGCTCCCAGTCAACAGCCCCACAGGAGGACAATTTCATATTATTTTTCATTGGCTGCAGTAAGAAGCAGAGGGCAGTAATCACTGAGAGTTACCAATGAAAACACGGGATTTTTCATTTGATGAACTGACCAGAAGCAAGACATACTATCACATGCAAAGAAGCAGGCACAACTGAGCAAGCTGATGGGAATGTTTGTCTTGCTCCTTTCTGTTAACCCAACCTCTTCTTGCATCACTATTTTTCTCATTGGTGAGAAGGAGTCTGAGCCACTTCCACTGTTACTCATCAGTTTGAATTGCTCATCGTGTGTCCTCTGTGACAGTACTCTTCTGTGTTTACCTCTGTAGTGAGCTCATTTATGTGCTGATTAGGTTACACAAGGCACTACTCATTCCTGTAGTCATTTTTTTCCTGAATAATGTTTCCAAATACATCTTCCTGTTCAATCTTTATCTGCCTCCACCCCAAGGAAACTTAGAGCTAGACATGTAAACAGACAAAAGTGAAGGAGGTGCACAGTT